ACAATTGCCTGAAATGTTAACAAGGGGAAGTTTAGTTGTAAACTGACTCCTACTGGCTCATTCTCTGTTTTGTGGCCTGAGATACTTTTTGTCATGCTGAAAGGGATTGTCAAGTCAAGAACTGAAGTTTTGTTCCACAACCCAGACATTTTTTCCATGAACAACTTGGTTGAGAACTGAATTGTTCGAGATGGGGGCCGGTCAAGAACCAAGGTTTGGCTGTACTCTCTGTTAGGAGATACAGGGATGAGGCAGTAGGCACATATATATTAATGGTGTGAGTGTAAATTGCTATAACCTTTTTGGAAGACAAAAGGGTTAAAATTTGAAATCCAGGTTTTCTGCTTCTAGGGATTTACCCAAATATATACCTATATAGTTGCATAAAGTATATATAAAGATATATACTATAGGATTGTTTGTAAAATAAACTATTTTTNGAGAAACATCTGTGTAAGAAAGAAACATTGATTGGTTGCCTCTCATACACACCATGATCAGGGATCAAACTCACAACCTTTTGGTGTACGGGACGATGCTCCAACCAACTTAGCCACCTGGCCAAGGTAAATAAAATGTTGGTAGCAATTTAAATATCCACCAAAGGAGATGGGTCAGATATTCATCCTGTGCAACTGTGCAAAGAGTGAGTCAGCTTCAGAAGTACTGTATGGACAAGGCAAATCTCAAATACCCATTTTTAAGTGAAAAAAGCTAGATGCTAAACAATTTATAATGTAACAAAATTTATTTTTTAAAATGGAGGATCTGTGTGCTAAGTACATGGTTGTGTTCATTTTGTGAAAATCCATCCAGCAGAACACTTACGGTTTGTATACTTTTCTGTATGTGTATCATATATGTTAAAAGCTTACCAGAAACTCCCAAAAAGGGTAGATACAGTTGGTACACATGCTTATTTATATCTGGAAGGATGTATAAAAACTGTTAACATTGGCTGCTAGTGGGGAGAGGTCTTGGGGGATCGAGATAAGACAAAGGCTTTTCAGTACTGGAATAATTTTCTACGTATATTACTACAAGAGAAGTTATTTTTCATGAAAATTTTATAATACCATGTACTTTTTTAGTTTTGAGAATTTTTGTAAGAGCTTATTTGAGCCAAACTGAGGACATATGCCAGGGAGCAATATCTCAAATGCCCCAGAAAAATAAATTTTGCAGTGTTGTTTGTTTTTTTTCTTAATCAGCTTATTATTTATTTTTAAATTATTTTTTAATTTTTCAATTACAGTTGACATACATTATTCTTATATTAGTTTCAGGTGTTCACCCCAGTGATTAGTCATTATATAACTTACTAAGTGATTATCCCAATAAATCTCACATCCATCTGAGACCATACATATTTATTACAGTATTATTGACTATATTCCCTGTGCTCTACTTTTCATACCCATAACTGTTCTGTAACCAATTTGTACTTCTTAATCCCTTTACCTTTTTTACTCATCCCCCAACCCCCTCCCAACTGGCAACCATTAAAATGTTCTCTGTATCTGCAAGTCTGTTTCTGTTCTGCTTGTGGGTTTTTTTTTTGTTTTTTAGATTCAGTTGTTGATAGATATGTATTTATTGCCATTTTATTGTTCATATTTTTCATCTCTTTTTTTCTTCTTCTTAAAGACCCATCAACATTTCATGTAGTACTGGTTTAGTGGTGATGAACTCCTTTAGCTTTTTCTTGTCTGGGAAGCTCTTTTTCTGTCCTTCAGTTCTACATGATAGCTTTACAGGGTAGTGTAATCTTGGTTGTAGGTGCTTGAATCACTTTGAATATTTCTTGCCACTACCTTCTGGCCTGCAAAGTTTCTGTTGAGAAATCAGCAGACAGTCATGGGAGCTCCCTTGTATGTGACTAACTGCTTTTCTCTTGCTGCTTTTAAGATTTTTTCTTTGTCTTTAATCCTTGGCATTTTAACCTTTAAAAGATGGCGTTTAAATTCCTGTAGTGGGGTCTCCCGGCCGGAGCTTTTTTGGGCATTTAAATTCAGCTCTGCAGGCATTTACTTTTTTGCCTCTATCTTATCTATTTTTCGAGTTAGTTATGAAAAGTAAAAACATTTATAAAGAAAATGTATTGTTTATTATTAAAGTTATTTTTTATTCGGCCAGCAGGACCCACTCCTTGCCGGGAACTAAAGTTCCCTTTCGTCCGATAAAGGTTAATTATGATGTTTCCTGGTGTGGGCCTCTTTGGGTTCATCTTGTTTTCAGACTCTGTGCTTCCTGGACTTCTAAGTCTATTTCCTTCACCAAGTTAGGGAAGTTTTCTGTAATTATTTTTTCAAATAGGTTTTCAATTTCTTGCTCTCTTTCTTCTCCTTCAGGCATCCCCATGATGCAAATATTTGCATGCTTGAAGTTGTCCCAGAGGCTTCTTACTTTCCTCATTTTCTTTTTTTGGATTCTTTTTTTTTTCTTCCTGTTCTGATTGGGTGTTTTTTGCTTCCTTTTATTCCAGATCACTGATTTGATTCTTGGCTTCATCTACTCTTGATTTCCCTGTAAATTAATATTCATTTCAGTTAATATATCCTTCATTTCTGACTGGTCTTTTTTTATGCTGTTGAAGTTTTCACTAAGTTCATTGAACAAACATCCTTATAACCAGTGTTTTGAACTCTGCATCTAGTCGATTGCTTGTCTCCATTTTGCTTAGTTCTTTCTCTGGAATTTTGTTCTTTTCTTTCATTTAGGCCATGTTTCTTTGTTTCCTAATTTCGGCAGCTTCTTTGTGTTTGTTTCTGTGTATTAGGTAGAGCTGCTCTGTCTCCCAGGCTTGGTAAAGTGGCCTTGTGTAGTAGGTGTTCTGTAGGGTCCAGTGGCACAGCCTTCCCAACACCCCACCCCAGGTACTTGAGATGCCCCCCCACCCCTGTGTGAGCAGTGTACACCCTGCTTTTGTGGTTGAGCCTTGATTACTGTTGGCACCTCAGTGAGAGGGATTTATCCCCAGACTAATCAGCTGCAAACACTGGCTGCAACCACTAGCCTCCAGCCACCATGGAGGATCAGCTGTGCAGGGGCCCACCCCTCAGAGGAGGACTTACTTCAGCAGGTCTCTCGTGTACCACTGAGTCTACCCCTTGAGCGTGTCACTTGTGGAAGTGGCTTGGTGGTGATACTTCTATGTGGTCTGAAGCTGTCCACTGGATGTGCTGCCTCTAGGGCCTCCTGGGAGGTCCAGGCGAAGGTCATCCACTGAATGTGCCCTGCCTGGGGCCACCCAGCATAAGCTACAAAGCAATCTGTGAATGGCTTATACTTGTGCTGGACTTGGAGGTGTCCAGGAGAAGCCAAGCTGTGAACCAAGGCCAGCTGTTGCTAGTGCCAGGCCTGAGGCCACTTTGTGAGAAGGCACAGGGCATACTGAGGCCAGATGCAGCTTGCTTGAGATATTTTAGGAAAATCTGAAGCATGAGCCAAGACATACCATTTCTAAGACAAGCCACTGGAAACAGTTTGGGTGGACCTAAAAGTTGAGTGGAATGGGGTGTCAGGAAATCAACAGGGCGGGGCAAACAGTGTGAACCAGGTTGATGGGCCCTGTGGGCGGAGGGTTCATCAAAGGAACAATGGCGTCTGCCAGCACTTCTGTTTGGGAGGAAGCTGCCTCTCTAGCTCTTACCCTGATCCCAGGTAATTCAGTTCCTCCCTGTGTGTCTCTGGTGTCTTTCATGCTTCTACCCCAGTGCTAGAGCTCAGAGGGAGTGAGTCCAAGGATGTCCACGCAAGAGCCCTTTAAGAGGAACTGCCTGGGACTCTAGCAGCCCTCTGTCTTCCTCAGTCTCACTCTGCTGGTTTTTACAGCCATAAGTTATGAGGGCTTTTCTTCCCAGCACTGAGACCCCTCCTCCTCAGGGGGTACCTCAAAGCTGAGATATCCCTCCTGATTTTTATCTGCCCATTTTCATCTCACCAGTTTTTCTTTTTAAACTGATTTTTAGAAAGAGGAAGGGAGAAGGGGACAGAGAGAGAAAGAGGAAGAGAGAGAGAGAAAGAATGATTGGCTGCCTCCTGCATGCAACTCAGGCATGTGCTCTGACCAGGAATTGAACTGGCAACCATTTGATGCATGAGACAACACTCAACCAGCTGAGCCAGTCTTGATGTAGCTTCTTTAATTCTCTAGTTGTAGAGTTTCCATTCAACCAGATTTCAGGAGGTTCTGAATGATGGTGGCTCTGTAGTTTAGTTGTAATTTTGATGTCATTGTGGGAGGAGGCAAGGACCATGTTTACCTTTGCCACTATCTTGACCAGAAGTCTTTAATACCATTTAAATGATGTTTTGTGTTTAAGAAAAAAGAGTGGGAGGAAATTCAAAGTTAGATGTTAGATTTTTTCAGGTGATGAAACTGTAATATTTTTCTGATACATGAAAATATATAGCTCTTTTTTATTTATTTTAAATATATCTTTATTGATTTCAGAGAGAGGGAGGGAGAGAGAGAGAGAATTGAAACATCAATAATGAGAGAGTCGTCATTAATCAGCTGCCTCCTGCACACTCCCAACTGGGGATAGAGCCCACAACCCGCGCATGTGCCCTGACTAGGAATTGAACCTCGATCTCCTAGATCCTGGGTAGATGCTCAACCACTGAGCCATGCCTGGCCGGGCTATAGCTCTTTTTTAAGTGCTTATTAATAGTCCTGATAGTTGTATGGGATTACTCTTTGCTGTTGTCCCCTTTCTCATCACACCCCCTTCACAAAAAGTAGAAAATTTCATAGATATTGTCCCGTTGCTCATAAGTATATGAATAACATGCATCTTTAAGAATATAAACATAGCCCGAACTACATGATTCCAGTAGCACCAGGTATCATTATGTTGAAGGCACAATCCAGAGGGAAATGAAAAGTTTGTCCACCGTGCCAGCTGTGGTGCCTTTGTTCCCTGCACCCATAGCTTGGTATAGCCTCGTTTCACCCGGGCGATATTGAACGATCCTCTCTCTGCTCTTTTTTTTAGAATAACTGCACAAAGACTTGCCCACTTGAACAAGTGCTTGATGAATTTTAAGCTAGGGAATTTCAGCTATCAGAAAAACCCTCTGAAATTGGGAGAGCTACAAGGAAATCACTTCACTGTTGTTCTCAGGTAAAGAACTCTGGGTTGGGTGCAGACCAGAGAGGGTCTTGCCAGGTGACCTCAAGGCTGTACAGAACAGTTATTAATCCAGGTGAGCTGGTACTAGCAGGGATGGCAGCAAGGGAAGACAGAGTGGGGCTTCATAGGACTGGGAGAGCAGATACTACTGGAGTATTTGTACTGACACCCCTGCCCCTCTAAAAACTCAGCACCACCTTTGGGAAGACACCATCTTCTTAAATACTGTGTTAAAAGCGCATTGTTCCACTCAAGTGCAATATCTAGAATAGGCAAATCATAGACCCAGAAAGTAGAAGAGATGTAAGCTGGGACAGGGGTACAGGGGAAGATGGGGAATTAGTGTTTTATGGGTGTGGAGTTTCAGTTTGGGAAGATGAAAAAGTTCTGGATACTGTTGAAGGTTGCACAAGATTATGAATGTACTTAATACCACTATATTGCATGCTTTAAAATGGCTAAAATGGTCATCTTAATGTTATGTATATTTTACCACAATTTCAAAAAAGAAATATCTAAATCCTCAGGAAGGAGAAAGCTTCAGAGAACAAGAGGAAGGCATGGAAACCAATCCACATATTTTATGATGTGCATCCCTGACTGTGTTTGACTGTAAATTTTTTTCTCTGAATAATTTGCACCTCTATAGAAATATAACAGGAACTGATGACCAAGTACAACAAGCCATGAATTCTCTCAAGGAGATTGGCTTTATTAACTACTACGGAATGCAAAGATTTGGAACTACAGCTGTCCCCACATATCAAGTTGGAAGGTTTGTATTTAATTTCTTAACTCTTTTCTAAAAGAGTCACAAAAAAGATCTCCTCATGTCTGGGCCATATTATCCAGTGTGTTATCTTTTGGGATAACCAACTGATCCACAGCCTCCTCCTAATTTGTATTCTGTTTTGAAATGATACATGCACAAGGTAAAATAATAAATCAGAGTTTAAAAGGATATAACCTGAAGTAAGGTAAGTTTTTCTCCCACCCCTGAGTGCCCATCTAGGGATTCTGTTTTTATTTTATTTTCACAGGTAAATCTTGACTCAGTAAGTGACCTAACAGTAAGCATGTGGGTAACTCAGACCTGAGGAGCCTGACAGAGATGACACAGTTTCTGACCTCTGTTAATAAGTGCTTCCTAGTTTATTAAACGGGTATCTGCCTTTCCCCCACCCTTTAGAAAAGTGCTGTTGGCTGTAATTAGTGAAGTAAAGTTTAAGAACTCGGACTCACTTTTAGTTAATAGGAAATCCCTCTAGGGTAAGCTGGGGTGGGAATCCCATCAATAAATACTTGGGTTCATAAACCTACTTATGCTGTACTGCTGTCCAGCAGAGAATAAGTTACATAAAGTAATTATTCACATGGGAGTTAGAATTGTGGAAGTTATGAATTGGAAGTGACATGAGAGGTTATTTAGATTATGCTCTTCCTTGTGTTTCAAACCCTTCATTTTAGTGAAGATGAAATTTAGGCTTAGGGAGATCTGCAGAGCTCACTAGTTGGCCCGCTGTAGTCTTGGGAATGAAGGATTTTTCTTGACTTCCACCAGCTGACTACATGAAGTTGCATTTTTTATGTTTAAAAGCACAAAATGGTAAAAATCTATCATGTAGTATTTCTTCTAGGTCTTTGAGGCAGTGTTGTGAAGGTTAAAGCGCAGGCAGTAAAGTCAGACTTCAGTTCTGAGCCTCAGATTACTCATCTGTAAATGGAGATTTTTACCTCACAGCCGGTTAAAATGAAGTAAGATGCTGTCTATGCAGCAACTATTTCTATGCTTGAATATAGTAAGTGCTCAATAAGTGGAAAGTAATATTTTAAAATTAAAGCATACTAATGAGAGAAAAAATTGTCAAGAAGAAAGCTTATAGTAACTAATAATCAAATAATTAGATAATGTTTTCAATCTTGCTAATGGTCAGGGGGAGTTGATAAAGATAGTGAAAATGCTAATTGTGTTGTGGCACAGAATATCTAAAGGGAGGCTACATTAACTTCTGACTTGGCACTAATTTGGCAGAACAGCATGGTACCCTGTAAATTTGCACTCCAAAGATAATGTAACATAGTTAATGAAAGTGAGATCAGATTTATCCAGGAACAAAAATTGCATAGCATGCCCAAAGCATACGGTCCGTTCAGAATACCAAACCAACAATTTCCACAACCTAAGAATATTTTCTAGTTTCAGAGCAGTCCACTGTTACCACCATAAGACCTCCTAAGGAAAAAACAAGCCTTCAGTTTATAGTTTAATGGTGACAGAATGACTTGTATCCAAAATACTTAAAGAACTCTTACAACTCAAAAAACAAAAAAGACAAATAACCCAGTCTAAAAACAGGCAAAGGATCTGAATAGACATTTCTCCGAAGGACGTAGACTAATAGCCAATAAGCACACAAAAAATGCTCTACCTAATTAGGAAATCACTAATCATTAGGGAAAAGCAATTCAAAACCACAATGAGAGCACACCATATATACATTATAATGGCTATAATAAAAAAGACAGATAATAACAAGTGTTGGCGAGGATGTGGGGAAATTGGAACCCTCATGCACTGCTGGTGGAAATGTACATTGGTACAGCCATTTTGGGAAACAGTCTGGGTGTTCTCCAAAAGGTTAAATGTAGAGTTAGCATATGACCCACCTATTGCATTCCTAGATATATACTCAAGAATATTGAAAATATGTCCACACAGAAATTTACACTAATGTTCATAGCAGCCAAAAAAGTTGGAACAATCCAGATTGTTCATAAAATGATAGTTTTTTTCCATACAATGGAATATCATTCAACAATAAAAGAAAATGAAGTACTAGTACATGCTACAGTATGGATGAACCTTGAAAACATCATGCTAAGTGGCAGCAGTCAGTCACAAAAGGCAACATATTGGATGATTCATTTATATGAAACATCCAGAATAGGCAAATGCATAAGGGAGCCAGAGGTAATGTAGAGGGGACTGCTGATGGGCATAAGGTTTCTTTTGGGGATGATAAAAATGTTCTAACATTGAATTGTGATGTTGCACAATTCTGAGTCTACTAAAGCCATTGAATTATACACTTAAATGGGTGAATTACATGGTATATGAATTATACCTCAATGAAGATGTTTAAAAGGAAATGGGATTAACTCTTGCATATATATGGTCAATGATTTTCAACAAGGATGACAAGACCATTCAGTGGGGAAAGGTCAGTCTTTTCAATAAATAATTTTGGGGAAACTGAATATGCACATTTTTTTAAAAAAATGAAGGTGGACCCATGCCTTTCACCATATACAAAAATTAATTCAAAATGGATCCAAGACCTAAATTTAAGAGCTACAAATACAAAATTAGAAAAAAATTTAAGGGGAAAACTTCATAACATTTAATTTGCCAATGATATAGCACCAAAAGCACAGCCATCAAAAGAAAAAAAACAGAAATTGGACTTCATCAAAATTAAAAATATTTGTGCATAGACAAATGCTCACACCCAGCTCGAGGTGGTGATGACAGCAGCAGCAGTGGGGAACTCAGATGCAGACACCTCTGTGTAAGACCCAGTGGGGACTGCTGGGAAGGCTAGGACAAGGATGTCGAGGATAACTGGGATGATGATGATGATGAAAAAAGAGGAAAGCAGAAGTAAAAATTTCAGGAAAGAAAAAGAGGTTAGAAGAACCTAAAGTGCTAACCTAACACAAAAAGAAAATTAGCAGATGAACTGCCACTAAAGAAATTACAGGAAGAATGGGACATTGAATTGGCAAAAGAAACTTTTGATGTTACTAATACAGTTTATGGAATAAATATGAACCTGTCTTCAAGAGATGACTTCAGAGTTTGGAAAGTTACTAACAGATAAAATGACACAATATGAAAAGTCACTATATTATGCCAGTTCTTTTGGAAGCCTTCAAGATTTGTGTATTTCATTGGACATTGAGGAAAGAAGAAAGGTGTAGTTCCTGGAGGGGGATTAAAGGCTACAATGAAAGATTATCTGGCAGATTTTGGTGGTTTAGATGAAGGATATGTACAAGACTGAAGATTACATGTGACATTTTCTCTTCTCCCAGTGTCTTCTTTCTGTTGCCCACAATCCCTTCAACACATAGCACAACTTCCTTTCCGTTCAGTTCTGCCAAATGCTATAGTCAGGAGTGTAGTATCTTGTGTGCTGCTTATTTAACTCCTTGACACTTAGGTGCTAATGTGCAAATGAAGGAACTTGGATCTTGCTGCCAAAGGGTTAAAATTGGGAGCTTCAGTTGCTATTAAATCATAGTTTTAAAAAAGCAAACCTAGTGTTGTCATTGTTGCTCTCTGATTCTATAGCAATAGTCACTAAATTGGAAACAAAGGTTGCAACATGACAAAAAATTTTGTAGTATTTACCAGCACCAGTAATGTAGCCTTAACCCATACCTTCACGAACTACTTCATAACTTATCAAGGAAAGCAGTTTGCAGCAAGGTCAAGTGGTGTGCACCTAGTATTAAAATTGCTTTGTCTTAAAATTGAGCATTAGGATATTAAAAATGCATTGTGAAGAAGATTGCGTATCTCAGTGAAGATACAGCAGCTATAAAGCACTAGTTTGAAACTTAAAAATTAAATAGTCCTGGCCTGTGTGGCTCTGTTGGGCATCATCCCTGTGCACTGTGCCAAGGGATTGCTAGTTTGATTTCCAGTCAGGGCATGTGCCTGGGTTTCGGGCTCGATTCCCAGTTGGGGTCATGCAAGAGGCAGCCAATCAATGTTGCACTCTTGCATTGATGTTTCTCTCTCCCTCTCTCTCTAAAATCAATTTTTTAAAAATGTTTTAAAAATAAAATAAAAATAAATATAAAAAAAGACGGCCCCCCCAAATTTAAATGACCAAAACCCTCCAACTTTGAAACTGAAGAAGGTAAACCTCTCCATTACTACATTATAAGTTGTGGAATCTCTTGAATGCAGACTGTCTAGTTTATCAGATTATTCTACACATGGCATGCTTCAGATGGGGGAGGGAACTCTACCTGTTTTATTTGCCTGACTTAAGTGCCTGAGAAACAAGTCTCCTTTGTTCTCCTAGGCTGCAATGGAACAACTTTAAACAGGGTTTTGGCATTTTCTTCCTTTATAAAACATGTTTAGCAAGCCGCACCAGTTAACTACAGTTTGGTAAATTGTTGTGTTAACAATTATCATATCTGCAATGTTTTATAAAGGAAGTAACTTAATAAAATCACTATTGTAAGGAAAATAAATAAATAATAAAATAATAACATTTGTGCACAAAGGATACTGTCAACACAATGAAAAAGCATCCCACATTATAGGAGAAAATATTGCACATATCATATCTGATTAGGGATTAATATCCAATATATAAAAAGAATTTCTACATCTCAACTAAAAATGAAACACAAACAACCTGGTTAAAAAACCAATCACAAAGAACTTATGCACCCCTATGTTCATAGCAGTACAATTTACAATAGCTAAGATCTGGAAACAGCCCAAGTGCCCATTAGTAGATGAGTGGATGAAAAAGCTGTGGCACATTTACACCATGGAATACTATGTAGCTTAAAAGAGAAGGGTCTTTTATCATTTGGGACAGCATGGAGGGAACTGGAAAGTATTATGCTAAGTGAAATAAGCCAGTCAGAGAAAGACAAGTACCACATGATCTCACTCATATGTGGAATATAATAAACAAAATAAACTGATGAACAAAATGTATCCAGAGACCTAGAAGCGTGGAACAG